GGCCATCCTTTGAAGTCTTTAAAGGTAGATGGTGGTATGACGAATTCGGATCTGTGCATGCAAATTCAAGCAGATATCCTCGGTATTGATGTTGAACGCCCAAAGATGCGGGAGACGACTGCTCTGGGTGCTGCAATAGCCGCTGGATATGCTGTTGGTGTATGGAAATCACTAAGTGAATTGGATCAAGTTAACAATGAAGGTTGGGCGGTGTTTTCATCCCAAATAACTCAAGAAACTTCTGAGGAACGATACAAATCTTGGAAAAAGGCAGTTGAAAGAAGTTTTGGTTGGGTCTAACTAATATTTCTGTAAAAGTTTTAATAATAAGATCCATGATTATTGTTAGAAAATATTTCAAAATTTTCAAAATTTTTTATGCTTGAATTTTCAATGTGTTAACAGATATACTAAGTCAACGCATTTTTTTCATGAAATTTCCAATATTCTAAAAACATTTATTGAGTAATCATTTTTTAACAAAGGCTTGACTGAAATTCTATAAATATAATAATATAATAATATATTATTATATTAATCTTAAATTTAATAAAAATATTTGTTTCACTAATATAAAATTATTTAATTACAAATATTTAAAAATCATAAAAATCCATAATTAAACCAGTTTTAAAAAAAAATAAATATACATATATAATTATTTTGAAAAAGCAAATATTATATTTATTTATAAATTAATAATTATTTATTATTTTTGTGTGATTTCAAACCAGACAGTATATATTAATATTTGAATTATAAAAAATAATTTATATATAATAATAAATAGGTATTAATATATATATTAACAATTAATTAATAATTTTATTTTAAAAAATTTATTTAAAATTAATAAAAAAAATTTTTTAAAAAGATTTATGGATCCATAACACAGTGGTTAGTGCTTCACAGATCAGATTACAAGATATCAGTTCAATTCCATATAAAAATAATTGAATAGTATTAATATGATATCTGGCATTATAATCTGTTATATGCTGTTTCTTATAAAAAGTATTTTATATACTAATCCAGTGGACATTGAGATTATAATTTTTTTGTTAAGATGTAGTGATATAACAATCATCTAGATGATACTATAATGATTGTCTACAAAAGGAGTCATAGAACCATTTACATATTTGAAAGTACAAACTAGACTATACTTTATCTTAACCAATTTCAATTTATTATTCCTTTTCCTGTTGACTGTCAAATAAGAAAGCTTTAAAGAAGAGTACTGAATTGACATTAATGTCTTGTGCAACATGGTTCTTTCTAAACAGTTTAGGTATATAGAAGTTGCATTCTGCTTGACATTTATGCTTCTAGATTTGACAGTCTAAGTCAACCAATTTAAAACTGGAATGTTTACTAAAAGATTAAAAAATTCTTTAAGGAGTCATGTCCCATTTAATTACAAGATCTTCTAGATTTGGTAGCTTAAAACCAATCAATAATCAAAACTAAAGTATTTATTAGGGAGAATATCAAAATATCAAGGCTTCTTTGTCACATTAGCTATGTGAGTAGAAAGATATAATATGATAGGCAACTTAGAAAATAGTTAGCAGTATCTTCTGCCCTCATACAAATTGGATCAGTAGGTTAGATGATTTAAAACTAGTGGTAGAATTTCTATTCCCTAGATAGATCCCTCCAAAAAATATGAACCCACTTAATGAGTATTATTAGTATCACTGGAACAATAAGTAGATAAGTTAATATTTAACTGTTGTAATACAATAGATGATATTTAATGTAATATAAAAATTGATGATTATTCAATAAAATCCTATATCTAATACCATTTTACAAAAAAAAAAATAAAAAAATAAATATTTTTAAATAAAATTTATATTATTTTATTTATAAGTTTTATAAAATAATTAAATAAAATTTTATAAGATTTTAATAATTTTTTATTTAATTATAAAATAAAAAATTAAATTAAAAAAAATTCGAAGATTTTTTTTTTTTTCAACTAGCCAGGCCTTGTCTAACATACTTTATTTAATTTACATTTGTATTTCTCGTACAAGAACTACTATCTATAAACTACTCTAGATGCATGTT